TTCTTTCTTTGTGTCTTGCTTTCTTCCTTCTTTCTTTCTTGCTTTCTTTCTGTCTTTCTGTCTTGGTTTCTTTATTTCTTTCTCTTTCATGCGTTCTTTCTTTCTGTCTTTTTGTCCCTCTGTCTTTCTGTCGTTCTGCAGTTTCTGTCTTTATAGCTTTCTGTCAGTCTCCAGAGATACCCACGTAGTTTTTTTTGATGCCTATTTAGTTTTTTTTAAGACCTCTACCCCACAAGTTGTGCTATAAGTAGAACTTCGACAATCAAGGGAAGGATGCCACATTAAAGGGCTCCGATGCTAGGATCTGTCCTCCGAAAGTCAAAGAACTCTGCTTCCTTCCAAATGTCTTGTCTGAGGACACCCAAGCGTGGTCTCTTAGAAACCCTCAACCGCTTGGAGCTGCTGCATCTCGCAAGAGGCTTGCACACAACAAGCCAAATCCAATTCGATCAAAGCACAGAGCGGGGAGGAAGAACAGTTGAGCCGTGTCCATCATCAGCCAGGTGAGCATTGCTCCCAGCATCATAATGCCAACTGCCACTAAGTTGGGCCTGATCCCAAAGAATGGCGCAGCCCCACTCTGCATGCGACTTCAACCAACAAGCTCGGACATACTTCATGTTCCTGCCTCGTAGCTGTCTGCAAGGTACTGAAATAATTCGTGAAGGCACCGTTGCACTGGTCACCTTAAGGAGATGCCGGTCCTACCGCTGAAGTCCTCTCCGTGCGTTGATGCTCCGCAATCCAGGTTGCACATCTCTCGCTGCCAGCGATCATCTGTGGAGGTGTTCAGGGTGTCCTTGCTCATACTGTACCCAATCAAACTACGAAGCTTGTTTCGGTGTTCGACGAGCAAGGACAACAAGGACCAGGCTAGGTACTCCGACAGGAATCACGAAACAACTGCGGCGCCTGAAACTCGCTGCGTCGGTCTTCCGATGCCAGGAACTTCTGCAAGAGCCTGGACAACCTCCTGCATCAAGACACGTCCAATGCAAGCTGTGGCCGTGGTTGAGCCACCATCTGATTGCGTCGCACAAATGCACGGTAGCGAGCCTGCTGCCATCGACTTTGATCCCGGGTCGTACAGCAAGTGCGGCATCGAATGCCAAGACGAGTACAAGAAATCGCGCCGGCAGCTTGAAGAGCAGCATCCGTCACCGAGAACCGAAGCCAGGCAAATGCCGAAGTTTACACCGCAGCACTCTCATACCGTGGCATCCAGCAGTCGTGCGAGGCTTTAGGCTTTACCTCGCACCTGCCCGAAAGCAGGTATGTTTGGCAGACAAGCTGTTCCCGTTGAGCCAAAGCAGCTGTTCGAGAACGGTATATGCAGTACCGACGATGAAGCAAGGCAAGCAGCGGCACGAGTGAGAAACAACGTTGTTTGAAGCTTGATTCTCAAGCAAACCGAAAACATCTGCATTACCCTCGGAGCACAATGCCACTTGCCATGTGTTGAGCTTTTATTGCTTTACACCGCAACGGCTCCGCATCGTATCCAGTCAGGCTGAACGGCAGAATGTCCGCCGCATTGTATCGCTGCAGCAATTCGCTCAATAGCTGCAAGGAATCTCTTCACTAATCTGCAGACATCTTGTCAACTTTGTGCTCTCCATCTGTCAGGTTCTTCCCTTGGTTCTTCACGCTCTTTGGAGACGAGGCTGCCCGCTTTGCCACAAGTTCGCCTGGAACTCGCCGCGCACAAGCCAGAGGGCTCAGACATGCTCAGAACCAAGAATCTCCAATTCACTTCCGGGTTGCGGCTGTTGGCGTAGACATAAAACCATATCGAGCAAGACATCGTTCCTTCGTGTTTGCCATCTGTAGCATCAACGATGACATTACCCGCTGGAAGCATATCCGCTGCAAAGTCATATCGCCCTTGTTCAACCGTGAAGTGTCATTCAAGGTACCCCGAACCATGATTCGCCTGTGACATCTTGAAGATGTTTGTAAGTGGTCAATGGAGCAAGTGCCATCTATGCAGTAGATTGCAGGAGTGCACAGGATACACCTCGCCTGTCTTTCGGTAGTAACCTGATAGAATCGATGCTATCGGTACGATGCACATGCGAGGCTTAGCGAGAGGAACAGCTTAACTTTCTGGTGGGGTCAGTGATGCTTCTGATTCCGTCTTAGTCATCTGCTGCTGGCTGTAAACACGGGGGGTTTGCGTCCGGTGGAAAGTTTCGGTAAGCAGTGGTCCCCTTCGTCAACCTTGGTCCTTAACCGTCCTGAAGCTGCCGCATCGGACAATCCGAGTCTAGGCTCCGAGGGCAGCCACAGCGAGCCAGGGGGCTGAATGATGCACATCCTGCGAGCAGCACACGACATACCCATGCCACATGATGCCACAACGAAGACGGGCTCTTCCACTTCCTCGTAGAGCGAGGCAAACACCACTGGACCCAGGACGCGTGCCATAGCTTGAAAAGCCGACATAGCACCTGCACTCGCTGACGACGCGCTTGCGAATATCTATACAACAGAATTCTGTTGAAGTCCTGCCTAGGCATGTCCCATATGCAGATGGACCAGCCACTTCCGTCAGTAGTGAGGTCTGGTTAGGAGATCCAAGGTTGTCCTTGGAGCCCATGAAATCTGAAAACTTTGTCAAGAGCTGCGTCTCAGCTGCAGCGCAGTGGATTTATCTGGGCACACGCGGCCGAGTCTCTCCAATGTTCTGTAGACCTGTGGTATGTGGTCCCGCACAGCAACCGAACTGTGTCACTTGCAGTCTCTCGAGCCTTGTGCTGCAAGGAAGAACCACTTGGTCGGCGCGAAAGCTGTCCCGACAAGGCCAGATAGACGAAAGGCGGTACCTCAGGAGAGCAAGCGAGCTGGCAAGGCCATGTGGCTTGTGGCTTCGTATCTAAAGACGTAAGCCTGGACGAGGTAGAAATGCGAGCGCACGCATCCTTTTTGGAAGCTAGACTTGAGTGGCGCCCGAAAGATGCAGGCCAGGTTGCCAATGACAACAGTATACCTCCATCCACTGGACACAACTACTCCGACTGGGTTGCGCCGTGACAATCACTGAACTGCTGAACACTATTACAACCTAGGGGCCACTGCTCGAAAACGCGCATCATGAAAGGGAAGAGGAAGACTGTGACAAATATCACAGTGACACCACAAAACGCCATGCCTCACATCGGCTCCGAAGGCGACAGCATCGCTAAGTGCAGGCATCAGGAAATGCAGCGCAGAACAACACATTGCAAACATCGGTTCACCAACCAGTTCCACATGTACCGAGGAACTACCGGCATAGAACTGAGAGCTCGAGGTTGCAGGCGAAGGATAAGACCAAAAATAGCCTCGGCCGATGCACATGACGCTCAACTGTAGCTGCTGAAGCTGCTTTTTAAGTTTGGGGTGCTGCTTTGCTTGACTCTCGTGCGTCTCGACCCCATCAACTGCATGCAAAAGGCTGTCCATGATGTACAGGGCAGCACAACTCTCCCATGCCTCGGGCAGCATGGAGGGCTTTACTACGTAAACTTCAGTTCCTGTTCACGTTTCAATGAACTCTGGGCTGCCCAGGGACTGCCAGACCAGCCTGCAGCGCAGTGTGGAAACGGAGGGCTGTTGAATTCACCGAAACACCTCCAAACCCGCCTCTCCGAGAAAGGCGCCCAAACACCTCACGGGGCACCCGGCGCATACATGAGGAGGCCGCTGAAAATCTCGATAAAGCCAGCCGAGTGGCAAGAGCCAGGCCAAGCCAGGGATCTGTGGTTCGCCGCTCTCTGGTGCACTGGCCTCATCCGCAGCCTTCGTAGAGAACGCAACAGGTGGTGATCTCTCGATATCTCTCGAGAAGTGCCTGCGTGCAGCGAATTTTAACATGTTGTCAAGCCACGTTCGTCTTGTTGGGCACGCCGAGGCAGAAACATGCGAAGGCCCAGTTCGTTGCAGACAGCAATGCGCAAACACCTAGGCTTGATGCGATAATCCACAGGCATCCACAGCATGCTTTGACTTTAATGCGACCTTTTGCCAAATTGTCCTCTGAGAGATAGTTGTTAGTCAGTCAGTTCGTCTGTACATGAGTTTGTCAATCGCTGGCGGCTGGCCGGCGGGTGGACAGGTCGGAGCAGGCACGCCGTACGATGCAGGACAGCCTCCCCACTCTTCTCGGCAATGTGCTGGTGGCAGGCTACAAGTCTTTCTGATAAATGCAGAGCTCGCTAAACATTCGAACACCTTGCCGAAAAGTACGAGTAGTCCCGTCAAGAGCTTACCCACCGCAGCGGGCTGTAGCGCTTGGCGCAGGTCTGCACAGCACTTCTGTGTTCTGTACTCTCGGGATGGAAGCTGGCGGGAGTTTGGAATGCCATCAAGACGACGGCAATCCCCGGAGCATAGACACAAGAAGGGCAGAGACTACATCAATTTCCATCCGATAAATGCTTTATAGTTTTTTCAACCGTACGATCGCGCGATAAGAATGCCCTGCTTTGCCATCCGGAATCACGGGCCAAGCTTAGCGCAGTATGCTCCCCGGTTGGAATCCGAATGATATCCTGACAAAGTAACTGTATGAGCTGAAGCTTGTTCCAACGAAGCTCCATGTCGTACATCATCCGTGTACGAGTATTTGCGATCTGAGACAAGCTTCCCTGGTGGACCAACTGACAATAATGTATCGTGTATCGCCGGCCACCAACATAGACAACATCGGTCAAGTCGCCACGATTGCATGCGAAGTCAGAACAGCTTCCGAGCTGGATTTGATGGCGTGATCCCGAGCATAAAAGTTGTGATGCCGCATCATGCTCAAAGCTGTCGCCTGCAAAAGTCAGGAGTACAGAAACAATGCAACGATCAACAACCTTTTCCAATCGAGGGCGAACACGCAGACCTGAACATTTTCGATGGGCACAAGCTGGTGCAATGTTTCGGAGAGGAGCAAGACTGACATCCTCCGTTCGGGGACCTTCTCTGAAGCCAAACAGCCGTTCCAAAGCCAGGTCTGTACACCTGCATCAAGAAGCCATTACTTGAGGAAAGGCAAACAGCTTCTATGCAACACTCCCCAAGCAAGTTGCAGTTGCGGATCCGCTGGGTCTCTCTTCTAGAACATGATCAGTTCCTCTCAAACCAGATGTGCGTAGCTCGAGATCACAGTAGATTTATAAAGCTCCGAAAGGGTTGGATCACCACGCAGGGCCGCTTGAAACATAGCGATCGCGAGCGCATCTTTTCTGCACGGCTGCCAGAGATGCCCTTTCTGATCAGCCGGAACAATATCAACGGAGAGTCGAGAGTTCGACCAACGACGCTGCTTCCTGAACTGCAACTTAGTTTGTGCCAGAAAAAATGTCAGAAGGTCCGATTTCACAGGAAAAATAGTTCAACGATGGTGTTGAGGCAGTGATCATGGAATTGGCTTCTCGATATCTGCATAGTCTTTTGCTTGCAAGCCACCGCTGTTCCCGACGAAAGGTCCCATGTTTTGCTGGCCTTCGTACTTTTGACAGGTAGCACATGGAGGATTGCAGCCGCCACCGACTGCTGCAATCTCCCAGCTCAACTTCGAAGAGCTCCACCACAATCCCGACAGTGCTTCGATCACACCAAGTGGTGGTTGCGGCATAGCTTTTTCGGAATCGTGCTTCGTAGAGGGTCCACAGGGTCTGGGGGAGGGTGCAAGAAAGGCGTTCGTTTGTAGCACCGGTTGCAAGAATGGTAAGGCTGATGCAGCCACGGCCCTCGTGCTTGAAAGTCGGGTTTTGCTTTGTCAGATTAGTCCCCCCTCGGGCAGGGCCTCGACGGTTGTGGTCCATCTGCTCAAACAACTGTTTAACAAAAGGTTCATGCCTCCACAATCCAAAGCGAGAGAGCACAGGAACCCAGCAGTCACTCAGACCAGCCGGACTAGCCAAGTAGATGCTTTGCTGAACCACACTGCAGAAAGAGCAACACTGCTTGCACAATGCTTTTGGATGCATAGGGATGCAACAAGGCTTTTTGCTTTGCCAAGGTGCGGCATGCTGCCACAAATCCCTGGTTGCTGATCACAGCTCCGACGACTGGTCCAACAAGGATGCCCAAGGCGATGCCTGAGCTCCACACATCGTTGGCAAGGGATATCCCTGACACAACCACGAATACGCCCAGCCGAGCGACACATATCCCTACCCAAACAGGAGATTTCCATGCACAGGACACACCCGGACCAAAGCTATCGCACACAAAAGCCAGTTGCCACATGTTTGCCAAGCCAGCTAGCGGTGCACTGCATCCCTCTGGCTCGAAGCAGAGTGCCAACTTCACAAAGCAGACCTCCGCCTCTGATATCCTACATTCCTACATGACAGGGACACCCAGACGCCTTCAGGCTTCGCAGCCTTCGCAGCCTTCAGCTTCCAAGGCCGAGCTGCTGCCGTTGACATGGGCGACTCGAACGGGTCGCTCTGTCTCGTCAGTGATGTCTGCAATGTATGCATTGCAAACGCCGATCCTCGATGCAGGCGACACAGGCTCATACAGGCCGGGCACTGGAACTCATGGAAAGCCAGAGCAGGGTCTGAAGTTCTGAAGATGTTTGGAGCAAAAGACCTGCCAGAAAGGTTTTCATCCTCACAGGAGAAGTCTTTAGAAAAACCCGCAGCTCACTGAAGTCTGCTTGCAGGGTCTTGGAGCTCGTTGGCGAACGGTATTGGGGGACGTGATCAACGACGAATACGTATGATGTCCATTACCAACGGCGGCATCGTGAGGACTTGAGGACAGCTTGTGGGCTAAGTGTGCTTCCTTTTCTGACGTCCAAAGAGGAAGATTGTTCTTCTCAGCGAAGCATGCCGTCTCGCTTCCATCCAGTTGGTCAATCCCTGCCCTAAACCCTCGACAAGAAAGACGCGTTCTCCTTCTCTCCAAGACACGTAGCAGAGAATGCGCCAGCCAAGGTGTAACCCACCAGCAGCCCGTGGAAGCTCCTGCTACCAGGCACGACCCTTCTGGAACAAGCGAAGAAGTGGCGAAGTGAGCCTTGCACAACTCAGTGCTGCAAAGGCAGAAACCTGAGTTGCCAAGTTGCGATTCGTAGACACACACATACACACATGAACACCCATTCTCTGTCCCAACCACTGTTGTCCTGCCACTCTCCCCTTGCGTCCCTTCAGCATTCATATCATCCATTATCATCCCGAATCCATGAGGCCGTTCCCTCTTGCTTCAAGGCTGCTTCACCGGCCACGGCAAGCAGCAGCACCTACGCCACCAGATCTCACGCTTTTTCCGTTAGCAATCTCAGCTGGGCCGAGTGAGCATCCCAACTTTGGCAAGTCCGGTTGCCTTGCGCCGTCCAATTCGATCGGAAAGGTAGCCGAACAGCGGGGTGAGAAAAGCCTACCAGCAAGGATGCGCCAATACATACTGACATACTGTCTGGAAGCCATGGCTTTCGATTCAGGCATTCAAACAATATGCTGGCACGGAGGGACGAAAGCTGCAGAGGCTCTTACGATTGTTAATCCAGAATGGGGGCGGGTGTTCGATCAGCAAGAGCGGTGGCCTGTGCGAAGGAGAAGGCAGTCAGCAGGCCTCTGATGGGCAGAGAAGCACTTCTCCTTTCTCTCAACCTTGCTTCCAACACTCCAACACGTCGTGCCGCGCCTGCGATATTTCGTGCGCTCATGTTGAAAGTCTTCGACAGTACCGGAACATAGGGAGCGAAGATTCCAAAGCCAAAGGCATCCTCGGTGTGCTTTTAGCACACGCCCGTGGAGCCCTAGAACATAGCTGTACCACTTTTCAGAACCTGCACATGCAGTAATAAGGCAGCAGCCATGAAGACGATGAAGTACAGGGTAAAGAATGAAGCCTTCACAAACATCGGCTTCCCAGCAGCTTCCCGCAAATGCATGATGTCCGATCACGCTTGAAACATAGTTAGTTGGGTATGGTGAAGCGACAGTTAGTAGGGCTAGGTTCATTCAGCCTCTGCATTAGGTTTGCGTCTTCTCTCGTGCTGTAACGATGCACATGGATGTTAAACCGCCTCAGCACTGAAATGCACTGAACAGCCTTTGCACTCCTTTTTGCGCTGGACTGTAGTCAGAACCGTGACAGGGGGTGGGCGACGAGTCGGCACCTTTTCGATGCTGGATTGACTGGATTGTCAACCTGGATGTCTGGCTTGCAATACCAATGTGCTTTCAGTATGTTCGACTCGGAATGTATGGGCCCCTGCTCCCGCCTCATCCGTCGCTGACGGTCCTACTGGGAGCAGCAGTAAACGGTGTCTCACACGGAAATGTTGGGGAGCTCCATTATCAGGGTGTCTTGCAACTGGGGTGCCATTATTATGAGAGGATGATGTAGAAACTTACGGGAGCCGGATTTTGCGAGCTTCCACATCTTCATTATCCACTGAACAATCGCTTTGTTGGCAGTTGCTGCTCCTTGGCCAGCTGAATCGGCGCTGCTTCGCAGAAACCACATCGTCAATCCAAATGCCATCCTCAGCATTCGCAAATACAGACGAGCTTTTGCTGCAGTCCCAGTCTCAGCTGCTGTTGCTTAATGAGCTTTGCTTCGGAATCCAACAGCCCATCAGACCTTCAACCGGGACACACAAGCACTACGTAGACGAGGCCAACGTCAATGTGAGCCGACTGATGATCGTGCGCCAGCTCTTCAACGAGTGCAATTCCACCAAGCCTCATGTGGCAGAGATGTAAGATACAGTGAAAGGATGTCAACATGACCTGACCGTCACACGACCAGTTGAGTCTTGTGCCGGGGCAAGGGTGTTTGCCGCTCGGAAGACGCGGGCAACTGCCTCGCAACTGAACGAACGTCAAGCGCTGCGATGCTCGGCAAGCCGTCTCCATCCCGAGCCTCTGCGCCAGATCCGGTTTGCTGTGCGCGAGTGCCTGCTTTTCGTGAGAGGTGTTGCTCCGCGTCCTGGGATCACAAAGGTTCCTGGCTCTCGCTGATGTTCACCCTAAACGCAACAAGACACAAGACCTCTGCTGCGGAGAAGCAAGTTGAGCTGAATGCTCACCTGAAGTAGCCGCACGTCTCCAAGCTCGCCTGAACGTCTTAGGAGAGTGCAGGATACCTAGTTGTCGCACAACACCCAAGCGAAACCAGGGGCAAGTCGTTGAGTCAGTGCACGCTAGTGTGCGCAAGATTGAAGTAAGAAAGGTTACTGTGTGAAACATACTCAAGCCGGCCAATCCATCTTTTGCACAAGCATGGCCATCAACGACTCCGACCTCTCGTCCAGTCCCTCCTTCATGCCGTGTGGTGCAGTGCCTGAACTGCCTGTGCAAAGTTGCATCTGTTGCATTTCGTCCCACCAGGACTGTGTTGGACCAGTTCCTTTACGGTGGTCGCTTCTGCATGGGTTTGATGGTCGTGTCGGCGTGCCTCCACGCAGGAAGCGTCCTGCTGGTTCCGTGATTGTGGTGTCGACGACTGGCTGCCGAAGAAACCCATTCGCTCCCCAACTTGACCTCGATGTCATCACAAGCGAAGGCTGACCTGTTGAATGCTTTGTGGATCTCCCCGTGAGGCAATGGCCTCCGGTGGTCGGTGGATGTTCTCGTTGACCACATCCCCGATGCTGTTGCTGACCCTCGCCTTGAGGTGGCAGGCTCCCTGGCGGTGTCGTCTGTGCGGAGCAAGTCAATTCTCTATGTCCCACCACCAAGTCACCCTTCATGACGTTGTTCCGCTACGTTCGAGGCAGAAGTCGTTCCGATGCGAAGCTGACACGTACCCATCATGTAGGCCGCCCATGGTCGCGGGCGTGGTTCAGGTCGCCGACACCGAACAGGAGCGAGGAGCTGGAAGAGCGATGTCACGGTACGATGCTGCATCCCGAGATGAGGCATGGCCGACTGACCGGGGAACATCTGTGCCGCTTCTGTTCAGTAGCATGTCTGCCGCAGCACGGTCCGCCGTGTGTTCCCTCCTTCTCCCTCTCTCTCTTGTGTGCTCATCTCGCTCAATCTAACTTGTTGACTCAGCTTTAGGATCTGCAATGACTTGTCACAAAAAGGCCAACAGGCAAGTTACTTTCCTCCAGACCGTCATCTCCAACTTCGCAACCGCTTCCTTCGGCATCAACCTGCATCTTTGATGTCTCAAAGACTCTACGTCAAGCTCACAGCAGCTAGTCTTTCAGTTCCGCACGTTTGCTACTACTCCTGATCCTGCACAATGTCATGACAGCAGAACAAGATGCCGCTCAGCCACAGCAACACACGCAAAGGCTATGAGTACAGCTGGCAGCTTCCATCCACAGCACGCCGGCATGGCTCGTCGGATGGCTGTATTACGATACTTGCCAGAAATTAAAGACTTCCAAGTTACGCGACGAAGAGGAGTTCCGGCATTAAAGACATCGGTTCGTATGGAAGTTCCCGTACCACGGAAGTTCAGTTGGAACAAGGCTATGGTTTCGCCTTGAACCAATGCTTTGAGAGGGAAGTTCACGCATAGACAGTGTCAATAAGTCAACACGAAATCAGAGTTCAGAGTCTTACCACCCCATCCGCTTCCGCCAAACAGCTTAGCAGACATTCCTTCGATGCCAAGAACGTTCAAGTTGCATGACATCTGCAATGCCACTGCGTTATGACATCCGATTCGAACTGTGAAATTTGAGAATCTACAAACTGACACCAGTCTTCAGCTACGATGCATTCCCAGGAAACTAATAGTAGAAGGGAATAAACCGTTGACTTGGTCAGAGACGCTCAGAGGATGCGGGACCCAAAGAAATTTGCTCATTGAGCAGCTCTTTTGCAGTCTACATGCAGCTGACTTTCGGCGGCTTTTCGCTCCGAAAGGTCTAATCGTCCCTGCCTTTCTTCAGACTTCCGTCGGCAGCGCAGGGCGGTGGGGTTGCCGAGGGATCCGAGGGAGGAGCTCGTCTCGTCAAAGTTTCCGTGAGTCCCACAGTTGACCGAGGCTCTGCGAGGCGAGGCTTCGTGTCGCCCTCGAGCCCAACCAGGCGCCTCGTGGCTCCATTCTGGCACCAGCATGTCCCTGCGAAGCCGGAACTCTTGGGCAGTCGTTGCGATGATGACTCTCAGGGATCAAGCTCCCGTAAATTCCCGTCTTGCCACCATTCCGCGGAATCTCGCAACACTTGGTTGAGAGCATAGGTGGATGCATTCATGACTCTCGCTGCTGCTCGAGTTTTCCACACAGTCAAAAGACAAGACTATCTGCAGAGTGAGCAGCTTTTCAGCATCCGTCAAGTAAGGCAGCACCGCCAAGCACACAACAAATGCAGCAACCTTGACTTGGAGGCCACAGAAGAGTCGAAATGAGTATCAATCCACCGTGGCCAAAGTGGTTAAGCTACCATGGGCTCTGGAAAGGCGGAGTTCTTCATTCAAGCCCAAGCTGCATTCGCAGCCATTGGCTCTGCCGCAAGCAAAGTTGCGGCGTAGCTGCTTAATTGCAGCGCATCGATTTTGCGTATCAGCCCACTCTCGGTATTCAGGGTATGCACATAGACGCCACCATCCTAGCAATTTCGCGCTCAATGGACGGCTACTGGCAAGGATTGTTGCGAGCATCTGCGAAACCTTCTGTGCAGCGGCACCGCAATCGCTCCTTGCAATATGTTAGCAAGCCGCCGCCCCCTGAAAAGCGACCAACGAGGATGCGGTCCTGCAAAATGCTTGGCCCAATGGGAAGCAGAAAACAACAGAAACTATATCTGGGACCACGTGGCAACGCCGAACATGGAAGCATGGTCCTTGCCCTCCGGTACGACTTCTACCGTCGCAGACAAGATCTTCAGGTCGTCAAGCAGCCGTGCCGGAGCTTTGCCACGAGCCTGCTTGGAATAAAATCATTGATCTCCTTCTTGTCACACGAGCCTACACGCTAAATGGACTCGGAAAGCCTCCCTCTTCGTGACACCTGCCTAACCGCTTCCTCAAAATGCCCGGCTTGGAGTTTCAAGACTTGTGGGGTTAGACTTTGGGTTCTTCAGCGCTTGAGATTCAGGGTTTAAGGGAAAGGTTTCGGGCCAGGGTTTTAGGTTGATGTACGTTCGTGGGTGTTTGAAGTTTGAGGTTTGGGAATACCTTCGTGCCAGGGTTTGGGGTTTATGTTAGAAGCGTTTGCAAGAAGCTAGAGGTCCGGTCACTCCTTCGCGACCTCGAGAGCCATAGGTTTAGGGTTTGGAATGTGGGGTTTGAGGTTTTGATTAAAGTATCATGGCTTCAGACTGGTTGGGGTTGTCCCTTGGCGGCCACTTTGAGAAGGGGTTGCACCTTCATGACCCTTTTCCTGGACACCTTCACGAGTCTTTCACTTCTGGGGTTCAGCGAGTAGTTCAGGGATGAAGGTTTAAGGTTCAACGTCGAGGGCCAGTTGATCGGCGAGGCTTGACGTGGGGGGTTTGGAGGGTTTGGACTCGGCTTTAGTGAAACAGACAGACAAAAGCATTATCTTGTCTCTTCCGACATCCGAAAGCCTGCGCCCCACTTCGTGGACAAGGCAGCAGGAAGGTAGAGATGCGCACACGCGAGGCGAGTCACTGCACATACGAGCCATGTGCACGGCCCATCCTCAAATTGATTGGTCACGTAGACCCGTCAGGCCGTAGGGTCAAGCACTTGATGCCCGCGCAAAGTTCTCGATAAACCCAGAAACCCTTTCCACTCTGGAGCGATTCAGTTTGCCGCTTGCCACTAGCGTCAGGCCGGGGCGGCGCAGTGACTGGTGGGTGAACGCTGAGCACGGGCCTCGCAACGACACCGTGCATGTCAAGGTGCGCCCGCAAGCCAGTGAAGCGACAAGACTACGGCCAGAAACCATGGCGGGATCACGTCTGGCGTGTGTTTGGAAGACAGCAACTGCTGTTTGCAAACCCCCTCCCGCGGAGCGTGTGTTGACAGTAAAATAGTTTGCACCCTGAGGAAGCCACCAGCGTAAAACAAGGAAGATGGCTGACAACGGGGTGTTTTTACCATCATGAACCCTTGAAAGTAGTGTAATTTCCATATCGTTTCGTGTTTCTGGCATAATTTCTGACCAGTCCGAAAAACAGGAAACAAAAACTTCGCAACTCCTTGACAAACATCCCTGACCGAAAATCTTCAACTCAAGCTGAACAGCAGGTCTAAACCCCACACTGTCGTCGTTGGATAGCAAGTCTTAAATCCCCGAAACCCAAGCTCCAGAATCTTCAGCACAATGTGCAAACAAAGACATGGCATGGATGCTCGGTCCCAAAGGATGCACTGGTAGCATGGACGCTATTATCATCGTTCCATCGTTCGGGCATGATGGCTGCTAGATCCCAAAAGATGCAGTGGTAGCATGAACGCGTTCATCCTTCAGGCACGGATGCTCGGTCCCAGAAGATGCATTAGTGGCGAAACGACATTAGCAACATCGAGTCAATCATAAAAACTAGAAGACATGTGGCCCGAAAACATC